TATCTTTCACAATTTAATTTTGCATTTTTGATATTTAGACACAATCACTGTATTGATGAGTATTATTTGTGCATAATGTTATAATAAAATACCCTACTGATGATTAGTAAATATACATAAATATCATCGTTAAAATATTAACCAAAAACAATTAAAAATTATTAACTACCTACACATTTCAAATTAAATTTATTTATTTTAATTTATTAAATTAACTTTATTACCAACAAATGGTTGTCTCCACCACTTTAAACATATTTATGGTAAAATTATTTCAATTTTATTTACAGTTTGTTTATACAATTTTATTTTAAATTAATATTATCATTACCTTTCTATACATTATAGATTATTTTACTATTAAGATTAATAATTACTATTGAAAAATTTAAATTGTTATTTAACTACATTGTTATAGTTTATCAAAATAAATTTAACTTCTAAGTTAGGATTAAAGTTATTAATTCTATTAATATCACCATAATATCATGTCATGGTCATTTATAATAACTTATATAAGATTAAGTTAATAAATATAGCCATCACCAATCATGTATGTATTGCCAATTAATAGCAATTATTTATTACATAAATTGATTGTTCAATTCATAACTATGTAAACTGTGCAGAAATATATTATGTTATTGTTTAATTATTTAATAATTTATAATATAATTACAACGGGTTCACCACAGATGGAAGTTGATTAGTATATAAATTTTAATAATTTTAAATAATTTAATTATATTTTACTTAAAATAATAATTTGTTGTAGTAATAATTTATGTAAAAATTGGTGAGCAATACCAAATTCTATTGTCGACTCCACTAGTTTATTTAAAATTAATTCACCATAATTTATTAAACAATTTTAAAATCAATTTACAGTATGTTTAATTTTAATATTATTTGGTATTATTTTTATTAATAAATAATTTACTGCATTTAATAACAGACATAATAGTGTTTATAGATGTTGCGTAATGTGAATTCTTTATAAAGCATGAAAAATTAAATTAGTCAATATTAGTATGATTCACAATTTAATTTTGCATTTTTTAATGTTTAGCCACGATCACTATATTTTAAGAATTATTTGTGTATAATGTTATAATAAAAATACGCTCATGATATTTAGTAAATATACATAAATATAATTGTTAAAATATTAACCGTAATCAATTTAAAATTATTAACAACTACACATTTCAAATTAAATTTATTTAATTAACTTTATTACCAACAAATAGTTGTCTCCACCATTTTAAACATTTATTTGTTATGTATTTTATGGTAAAATAATTTCAATTTTATTTACAGCTTGTTTATACAATTTTATTTTAAATTAATATTAATTGATTGATTAAATTGTATGTTTAGTTCATATTATTAATATATTTAACATGATCTGAAATAAATAATCAACAAAACTGTAAATAAAAAATAACTAGTTAAAAATATTTGTTTATCATGTGTTCTTGAATTAATATTGGGACTGCATAATCGATTACGTAATTACACTCAATTAAAATTAATATTTTAAATGTAATTTTAGCATTAATTAATGTAAACATTAAAATGAAAATAAAAACTAACATTAAATGTATAACCTAAAATTAATATAAATTATTATTAAATTAATTTTACGTATAATTATTAAAATTTAACAACTATTACAGCAATAAAATAATAGTGTATTATTTGTATTTATATTTAAATATAATGTAAAATATAAAACAAACAAATATTTCCATAAATAGCGTAAAAATCGATGCAAACAAACCGCCGGACAATAATATAAAAGCTATACGCAAATTGCCTATTTTAATGATCACTTGTTTATTATGATCATCTTTATTATTGTACGTATGGGCAAAATGATCATGAGTTGTGTTCAGTGAATCCAAAAAGTTATGGAAATAAATATCTTCATTTAATTTTTTCAGTGTAATTCCCGTATGAAGTAAATCGTAAAACCTATGATTAAATTTTTAAAAATATTTAAATAATTATTATATAAAATCAATTCTCATAAAAATAATATTAGGTAATATTTTTAAATTTAATAATCAAATACAAACAATATTAAGGTTTAAGCAAAACAATTTCTATTAAAAAATACTAAATACTTTATAATTAACTGCATAAATATAAATAACATTAAAATTTAGCAAGGCACTAAAACCAAATACATACAAACGACTTAATTGATGTTTAATTGGTTGCGCCAAACTAATGCGCATGGGATAATGAACAATTTGTGGATACTTTCCCTTAGCCCCAATATGCCAGGGATAGCTACTATGTTGTGAAATTACTTGTCCTACAGACTGCTCGCTGGCGATCAATACGTGTCCGTCGGACACTATTTTATTAATCACTTTGTCGCTAAACATAGTCAAGTGTGGAATCTGTATTAGCCTATTCACTATTTCTTTGTATTCCTTTAAAATAAACATTTTTAATTATTAATCATTGTGAATTAATAAATTATATAAATTATCTAGTTTAATATACCGTATATTTATTAAGCAATTCGTGAGCATTGGATCCCTGTTTGATGAATGGTGTAATATCCTGGCGTTCAATGAGTTCTTCGACAGACTCTACATATAACTGACGTTATTGATGGACGAAAATATTTTAACAAATTTTATTATGTAATTAAAAATCTTGATATAAATAAGAATTAGTGTATTATTAATTACCAAGGTAAAACAAAAATAACATAGAATTTTTAACACGTATATAATTACCTTGTGTTTAGCTGTAATTGAGGCCTGAATATCGCTGGTGAACATCAGTCGCAGAAAAAACGTCACAATTAACCAAAATGCAATACTTATATTTATGTGCCTTTTGAACTTGCTAATATACCTGGTGTATATCATGTTTGTAATACTCTGGCCTAATATAACACCAAAATAATCGCACACAACTCCAATACGATTCCAATTATGGCGAACAACCACCGTGTTTATTACGGAATTAAGTAGGAGTGCCAACAGTATTAGATTCCACATGCAATTGGAAAATACATAGAATATGTTGAGAATATCGGCTCTCCTAACGCTGGCAACGCTTAATAAACTTAATTGATTTCTTGTGGTAAAAAATTCACCAAAATCTATGGGACTGTGTTTTATGTCCCGATATGTGAATAGTTTTAATACAATGTCAGCTGACTTTATAAATAAATAATATAAAATATCAATACATATATTTTTAAAAATAAATTATATTTATTTATTTTAATTATTATAGTAAACTAAATTAAAAATTATCCAGATGGTAAACCTTACTTGATTAGCAATCAGGGAGAGTATGCCAGTCCACGTGCCATTTGGTAGTCGAGTGCCGCTTATCGGTGAATGAGACATCTTATACGATATGCTAATTTTAAATCAATATAAATAATTATGTTACTATATTATTGCAACAGGATTCATTATTTTTTGGTACAAACTTTGCCGATAATCTAATCGATATGAGCTCGATCATATAATTAGTAGTGCCGCACACATATTGCTGGCCATTCCGGTATAACACCTTATAAAAATAATTGTAATTATTTAACAAGCTATTTTTATGATGATAGGAAATACACGAAATAATAACTAACATACGAACATTACCTCGGTCGGAAACAATGCGATTACCAAGTGTTGTGTCTGGTTTTTAACAAAACTAATATTATGTGTTTCACTCCATTTATAGCAAAACTTGTCCCACCCTGTAACCATTATTTGCAAGGTAGGTTATTTATCACACAATATTGCAGTTAAATAATTAAAACATGCTTGCTAAATATTTAATAATATTTGAGATTAATATCTCAATTAAAAATTATTACACATTTATTTTACAATAATTTAAATGTTCATGAAAACATGATACATTGAGGTAATGTCGATAAATTAATTACATGTTCTACTATATAATAATATGTTTGAGGGGTTAATTATGGTAACTTCAAAAAAATATTCAAAAAAAAAATTATATTGAAATAAATGCATGTTATCGAATATGGCAATATCACAAAGTATATAATTAATAAATCAATTATTATGAATATGTATGAAATTCAATCTATTGTAATATCTTACATTATAATCAATATATAAATAATTGTCAACATTTTTACATTTTTACAACCACAATAATAATATGTCTATATTTAAGTTGAGTACCCGTGGCCGATTTTGTGAATTGTTAATCTATGTATTAATATGTGCATATGTTACATTTTTTTTAGCAAAATGTAACAAAATAATATTCATAATTATTTAAGTATTGATATATAATTGTAAATAATAAATAAATGGTCATAAATAATTATAGGATGTTAAAACTATTGTATTGTATAAAATCATATAAAACTAATTTATATCTGTAAATGTACTTAATTTTATTTTATCTACCCTTATTATTAGTTAAAATATGAGTTTTACAAAATTAAAACATGAGATGTATACAACATGCATTATTTCTATGTAAGGTAAAACGTCCTATGACTCAAAGTTTTTAGTAATATGAAAAATTCAAATATACCACGTGACCAAAATATATTGACTGGCTATGCAAAAGATGCAGCGTATATGGCTCTATTGAATGCCGTTTACAGAATTAAATTATGTCTTTTAGTTTAAGAGAAATAACGAAAACCGCACACCGGGAATTAATTGACTGCCCCTTATAATACAATTCAACAACTAACAAAAACATTTTTACATAAAAAATTTAAGTAAAAAATTTTCCGGAAAATTGTAAAATTTTACGAAAAAACATTGTATAGGTCCTGCTACCTTTGATTGTTGTCGGTATTTGGGTCGACCTAACGACGGCCTAACAAAGGTGGTAGAATAGTCAAGAGTAGTTGTATGGTAATGGTAATATGGTAATGACCAGTATTGTATAAAGATTTTTAAATTTTTAAAAGTTAAAAAACGTGCAAATAGTCACAAGCATTAAAGGTATATACAAATGTCTAAATTTTTAATTTAAATCTATAGTTAAAAACTTATCAAAATAAAAAATATAAATAAACTGTAAACGTAAACATACAAGTAAAATAATAAATATAATTTTTATATAAATAGAATTATTGGAAAGCAAACCCTAACAACTTTTTTTACATTAAATTATTTAAATACGTTTTGGTAACTATTTTTTGGATTATCTCAAATAATTCTTATTTTAATCAAATTAATTTAATTAAATAACAAATTAAATTTATCATTATTACAATTTTTGTTATAATTGTTAAAAATATACAAAAAATATTGTTATATTAATAACATAATGTTAAAAGTAATATTATTTTATTAAAATAAAAATATTTTACTCTTATGACAAAGTGTGTTTGTCATTTGTGAATCTTAGTAAAAATAATAGTCTTATATCAAGTGGAAACTGTAATCAGTTTCGACATAAATGGCTACAAAACAGGCAATTCTCTCAACAGCTAACGGGCATTAACTGTACTAATGATTGCAATCTCTCTCTCTCTCTCTCCCTCTCCCTCTCTCTCTCCCTCTCTCTCTCTCTCTCTCTCTCTCTCCAATATTTGTTTAATTAAATAAAACATATTTCAATTTTCTAATGCTTTATTAAAACGAATATTTTCTATCAAGATTCAGGTAAATCGACAATTTTATATATTGTAAATTACAATTATAAAAATCAATTAAATTTTAACCCAGTAGTATTTTCAATCCAATCTCTATACGCGTATACCCGGGTAAAAACGCCAAATGACGCTGTGCAACCACGTTTAGAAACAAATGAGGCAACACCATTTGCCACCCAGGCACCGTTGGTCAGTTGGCAGTTTAGGGGTCCGCCACTGTCACCACTGCAGACATTTATATTACTCTTTAAAATTCCGGCGCAAAATTGAGTATTGAGATCAATATCTGGAATAAACAGAAGTGATGATTATCTATTATAAACAATTATATATTATGTAATATATAGTAGACATTTTTAATAATAATTTTAATTGAACAATTAGTAATTGATTAATTATTTTTTTAAAATAAAACATAAACTAACAGATGATTTTTATAAATTAATTGTGGTTTAAATATTACATTAAACATGAACGTTAAAAAATATATATACAAAAATATATTTACATTTATGTGCAGAATGGTCTTATTTTAATGACCACTTTTAGGTTTAAAATATACTAAATATTGACCTGGAAATTCTCGAGCACATAGATTATCGTCGGCCATCGGTAAATGAACATGTTGCAATGTATTTGACGGACTATATACACGTAAATCACTTACTCCCCAGCCACTGGCCATGCATCCTCTGCCACCAGATGTAGTTAGATTATATGGCGGTAGGCAAATAGCATTCAGATCATACGATGATGGTAACTTTAACAAGGCTATATCATTTCGGACGGTTTCTTTATTGTACTTATCGTGAATAATTCACTAAATAATAATATTTTAATTATAATAATTTGTTAACCAATTATTTAAAATACACATTAATATACATATAGTTATACTTAACACAATTGTAAATTAAGTACAAAAATACGGATATTGTACTTACATCGCTCATTTTAGCGGCATATTCATCTCTTACGTAAACATCATCAAATGTGGCTCTAATTTCATCGACTTTTTCTCCGTTGTCGTAGTCATGAATACAGTGGGCGGCGGTCAGTATCCACCGATCGTTAATCAGCGAACCCCCACATATTCGACACTCGTTTGCTGACGTTTTACCAGGACATATGGTAAGTCTAGCCATCCAGGGCCACGTGCCACCTTTGGCATTTGCGCCGTTCACTATACGGGCGCCGGCCAGTGAGTTGCCGCACGGCTGGCCCACACCCGACGTTTCACCCGATAAATACATTAACACCAGTGTTACCGCTATGGATAAAGTTTGAGTCCAACTCATCATGTTTATATACTGTTTATTTTACAGGCTATAATTTTTTATTCAACTAGGTTTGTTATCACTCCTTATATACTTTTAATATTTATTCTGATTTGACATATTATAATTAATTTTCAAATCGGTTGCATTTGCGTTTATAACTATTAATTAATTTTCAGTTAACTATAAAAATAAATGTTTTTCACATATTTTAAAATACAGTTTAATCTCTATATAAGCGAATATTTAGTATTGTTATAAAAAAAATACTAGCCTGACATATATTAGTTTTTAAATAAGTGAACAAAATTCAATACTATTTATATTGTATAACTTAAATTAATTATTTTTATAAAAACATAAAATATTAGTAAATATTACCAATAATATTTTTAAAGAACAGTAAGTTAGTTTAAGTTTAAGAAGTTAATTTTATAATTTAAATTAATTTGTATGAGCAAATGTATTTCGAACAAATGTCTTAGACACATCTTATTCATATGGTTTAATGTTAAAGCAAATTCTGGTTAACGTATTGTATTAGTGGTGTACAGTCATATTTTTATGTAATTAAGCAAGCGTTTGTATTGAGTAATTGGAAATCCTAGTATTAATAATGCATTATTTATAAAAAATTTCATATTGTTTAGTCACTTTTTAAAATGACCAAAAATCAATTATACTTTTTTAAAACATACAAAAAAATGCGATTTAATAACTAATTTTGATACACTTTTATTTTACGAGTGTAAAACCTTACATTATTTTACTCGTAGCTTTCACAGTGCTTAGATACTATCCATATTGTCTGTACTTTGTTTATTGTATATTAAATTGAGAATGTACTGTATTATAAAAAGTTTTATAAGTCATTAATATTGATGATTATCCGGGTTGCCAAAAACCTTTCACAATTTATATAATTTTACTACTTATTTCATGTATATACATTTATTATATCTTATTTCCTCAATTAATAATAATACACTTACAAATTTACAATAAAAAAATACGTTTTAATAATTAATCTATGTAAAAATGTTTATAAATAAAAATGTTTGATAATAAATTGACAGGTAAAGGGCACTAGTAACAATGTGGTTGTAAGTATTAAATTATGACATATTATTATATTTTATATTATGCTTTGTATTATTTTCATGTGTAAGTGATTTATATTTATACTTATAAGTTATTCCTATATAAAATATCTACTTATTTATTTATAAAATTATACTTTATATGTAAAGTTTCTATACTTATTAAAATTTTGCCTGATTGTATAAAAATGTACTAAATAAAATAAATAAATGGCACATTGTATAACCTTTAAAACACATGTTTAAATAGTCAATTAATTATTAAATATATTATAAATATTAAATAAGTATATAAATATAAAATTTTTATCATGATCAAATTGCTAATTATAAATATAATATGTATATGTATTGTAATCTTATTTAAATAATAACTCGTTTAATTAAAAATTTCTGATTATTAAACATTGTAATAAATATTAAAATAGTTATAATAATAATCAAAAATTATTGTTGGTTGAAATTATTTAATTAATATCAATCTAGGTTATGTCAATTTCCATATAATTTTAAAATCTGATTTTATTAGTTATGCGCAAACAAAATCTAATGGCATTCAATGTTTTTACAATTAATGTGAAATTTTTATTTACATTCATTGGATCTGTCGTTACATTTATTGTTATATTAATTCACTTTATTAATACATAATTAAAATTAATTATGATCAATAATTGTTATTAAATTGTTATTCATATTAAGCATATTTCGTGATCAAACATTATTATCTAGGTAAACAGGTAAGCAAGATAAAATGTAACATAATTAACATCTCGATTGTTAATTTAATAGTTACTAATTGAATATTATTAATTGGTGTTATTTGCATAAAAAAAATACATACTAATAATTTTCATTAACATTTAACATACATGTTAATTATGTTATTTAAATATAAATTGTTATTATATTTTTAATCATGACTTATTCAATATTGTGCTATTATATTGACAATTATATTAATAAATTGAGAAGAATTGGATGTCCCAATGTTACATGTTTTAATAGCAACAAACAATCAATAACCATAATTTTAGTTTAACATAATTATATCACATAGATTTAATGTTTTTAATGACAAAATGTGGCCGCAATTAATTGTAAGCCACGTCATAGAACAATATTTCACAAAAATAATTATTAAATAATAACAAATAGTACAAATGCTTTTAAATTATATTGTTTCTAATTAATAATTACAAATTCGATAAATACTGTTGTAATTAATTTTTTAATTATATATTAGTCGCCGATTTATTAAATAACTAATTTTTAATCTATTTTTCTCAATGTTTGCCGCAAATACTATAAATATTTAATAATTGTTGATGTGATTCATTATTATTAATCATTATTAGACTTAAAAGGAGTCTATGTCCACGCAACTCAATTAATACCGACGGGATTGATATCGTCGTGTTCAGTACAATTTGTTGATGTGTAATCAGCATTTAAAACCTGCGAATGGCCACAAACACCGAAGTTATGGCCAAATTTCAAACCACTTGCATAGGGGGCAATGCATTACAATTCTGATGAATGACATTACTCATGTAAAAAGCAAGTTTTTAAGCGCACGACTGGCCACCGGGTGGACACTTATAGGAAACAAAGTTATTATTCGTTTGACATATTTCAATTTATTGACAATCACTCCCATATTAAAATGTAATTTATAATAATCTAAATAAATAATATGATAAATATTATTATATTTTTCTCATATTATTGTGTTTTATTAAATCATGATAAATATAATAAATAGTTTGATTAATTATTTGAGATAATTAAATAAAAATTTAATAATTCCCGTTACGATTTTTCCAATAATTTGTTATTATATTTAAGAATTATTATGACAACAGTATTAATAGAAATCTTTACAGTTTTATTGAAACTTTAAAGATAAGTAATTGCTCAAGATATTAAACAATCTAATAGAATATACTTTCCCCCACTTATTAAATATTTAAAATTAATAAATTTACTAAACTATTTAATAATTTAAATCATTTTTTACTACATTGTTAAAATGTGTTTATAAACTAATAAATAATATAAATTATTACTTATAAATAAAAGTATTTGACAACATTAAAACTTTCATGATTGATTGTAACTTAATTATAAACAAGTTTGACTTATAAATAATCTAATATTTTATTTAATTTATCATTATTTCTTATGAAATGAATTTATATTTTAATAGAAATCTAGCAACATAATTATAGTTATTCCAATTGGGTGTTTTGTAAACAAAATTTAATTAAATGCACTCAAAAGTATTTTAAGTATTACTGGTGGACATTACTGTTTTGCATTTAAATTAACGCAATTATATCATTTTAAGTTAAGATATCTTAAGTTAAGATATTAACTCAAATCACATATTAAAATGCCATAATTGTTTTTTAATCTATTATTCATAGTATTAATAATTAAAATCCAAAATGATGAATCATTTTAATAAATATGTAACAAAATTATTTTCACAATCAACCATATTTGGTCTACTTGGTTTTGATGTCATCCCTACACAAGAGTCCAATAAATTATTTAAAACAATAATTAAATATATATTGAAATTAATATCCATTTTAACATTTGTTTGGTTTATAAAATATATAATTGTGCTTTCAATTAGTAATAAAACAATTAATTTACAAATACTTTGGATAATATCAGACCTGATTGTGATTTTAATTATGATTATCGCTTACATTATGTTTGAACTCAAATGCAAACAAATCAAGAAATTACTCTCAGATATCACTCAATGTGTGTCCGATCGACACAAACACCGTATGAAGAGATGCTCACAATTATTGACATTATTATGGCTTATATTCATTGCAATACAATTAATGGCTTTATTCACATATTATTATCGTTATAAATACATACGATTTGCTCTGACTTTTGAAATTTTATGGACTTTAAAAATATATGGTTTAAAAATTGTCACATATTTGCTACTAGTATACATGTGTTATGCCATAAATCTCATGGAAAAAAGTTTATTGACTATAAATTATATAAATTATAGACATTTAAGGCAAACACTTCTCAACATTGAGAGATTTAAAGAGTCTATTAATGAAAATTTAGGTATTTTCCCATTTCTATGGTTTACTGAGCTTTTCTTCATTACATGTTTGCGATTAACGTATATTTCTCTTAACAAACAATTTAATAAATTTTTTTATGAACGCATATCTCAAGGGATTGCGAGTTATATTTGTTTGGATATAATGTATATTTTGACAATCAATTACTTTCAAACTCATAGACCAACAGTCAGTCAATTATTATTACATTTCGATCACATTTATCCGCAAATCAATTCAAAAAATTTCAATTTTAATATGATTTTAAAATCTGATTTTATTAGTTATTCAAAAACAAAATACATGGCATTCAATGTTTTTACTATTAATGTTAAATTTTTATTTACATTCACAGGATCTGTCGTTACATTCACTGTTATGTTAATCCAATTAGTTAATAATTAAAATTATATTTTAGTCAATGTTAAGTATATCACGTCATCAAACATTATTAACTGGTTAAACAAATGAACATGATAAAATGTAACATAATTAACACCTTTAATTAATTTAATAGTTAATAAGTGAATATTTTAAATTTGTGTTGTTTGTATAAAATACTTACTAATAATTTGCATTAACATTAATACAATTTGCAATCCTTATATGTTTAATAACAACATTTTATAAATTACACTGCAAAGAATTTTCTATATAGGGCAATACCAATATTTGGACAGTCCATTGGTCTCGATTAAATACAATTTAATGATAATCATAGTTTACAATAAGTATATCACATAGATTTATTATTTTAAAAAATTAATTTAAGCCACATCAAAAATATTTTACATAATTTATTATTAAATACTAATTTATAATATTT